GCATGTGGATTACCTGGTGGATTCTGCGGTACGCTAGTTTTGAAATTGTACATCTGAATTGGCTCTCTCTTCACTGCACTGATTGGACTTCTTTATATTAATCTGCTCCAGCTGTAATGCATATTGGTTTGCCGATATTCTACAATATCGCAATCTCCACTCAGCAGTGCAGTAGGCTGAGCTGACATTCAAAGTGACACATTGGAGTACATCACAGTTAAGGAATTGGACTCTTTAAGTTTTACTTGAATGTGTTGTTTTAGGCTTATGCCAAGAGTCACAGAGCTCCGCGTGGATGTTGTGCCGTTTTTATATTCCCTGGTTGAGGTTTGGTATCCATTCAGCACACTTATCATACATCCTTGAGTCAGTTGTGTCATTACAAATCACTGACAGCTCATCTTAACCGACTCCACCACTACCACCGCTTACAACTCACTCATGATTCATTGCTCTCACTAATAGCAGTCTGATAAATGCATGAACACAGTGTCGTCATTTGCATTACCCGTTCTCTTTCCCCAATATATGGAAACATGCCAAACATGGACATGATGTTGCTTTGTATGTCAATCTAATTTGTTCAGCTTCCCTGACAAATTAGGAACCAGCACGCACCTGAACCATGTGCATGGCATAACCATCTCGCCTGCCAACGACAACAATGAAACATTATACATTTTCCGTCTATTGTAAGTGGCCAATTCTTGAAGCTCCTTTTCTCACAGGGTTGGAGTAGTTACTATAAGTAGTATGAACTGCACTCTGTACTGCCTGAGGCTACTTGTTTCATCCCAATACTATACAATACAATCGCCTTTTCATATGATTCTATGGGTATGTACTTCCCCTACATTTTGCTGATGTTCCACAGTGACATATTCTCTCATACTGTAACATACTGCCTACCTGTCCTCATATGCCTTAAATTTCAAGTCAACGGAATGACCTGTGGACTAAGTATCCTTAGAATGGACCATTGAAGCCTGTCAGTCACAAGGAATTCAGGAATCGTTATGCCAGCCTTCTTCTTTAGCCGTCAGCAGATACAGCAGCAGGCCTATCAGAAATGTCTTGGGCCAATTTTGCTAAGTTCACCTCCATTGTCAGTGGTAGTTCGGGGTTGAGAAGGCCACCAGGCATTGTCAGCCACAAAAATCCTGGGTCTGACAACGGTGGGTGGTGGCTGCAATTTTTCTTGGGGCTGCACTGCGCCACTACATATCCAACATGCTGCCCCCCACATTTAACTGTGACGCCCAGTATGCAAAAGGGATAGCGGTGGTGAAATATGCCATCACATTCGATCAGAAGTTTCAATCACCAACTTCTCAGTATGCATTAAGAATTTTTTTGCGGGGCTTATCTGCTTCATTGCTTTTCCTATGCCTTGGTTGTCGGAATTCCTTAGGGATGTTAATTTCTCCGGTTTTGAGGGACGGCAACGAGCACTCTTGACCACGATAACTTGTGCAGAATGAACTGTCAAGATCATGGTGCAATGGCCAGTTTGGTGACTATGTCCTGCCCTCGATAACAAATCCTTCTGAATTTTCGTTGTGCAACACATCCAACAGATAGGAAAAAAACTCGTGCAGTTTGAAAAACTGCTCTTGAAATAAAGTTCTAGTGAGAACAGTTTTGTCAAACATGCTCACACCCACATGTGCACAACATACACACACAGCACACGTTCACCAACTAATGATTCATGTAGTCAATATCTACCACCTAATATACCCTGCGGGTCCCAGTACAATGGCCTCCCCTTCCTATATCTCTTTTCTCCCTCTCCTATCAACTTTCTATCCTGAAGAGAAGCAACAACCCCACCTCCTCTCTTGAAGCAGACTATCTGGAGGTAGATTGCCACCCTCTGGTAGTTCCCTCCACGTTTTCGCTACATTCCAACACTATGCACCGATATCCAACCCTTACATTACCCCCTCCTATTTCATGTCCACATCACCACAATCCCCTCTTCCCCCGTTTGATTGGTTTCTTGTTTCTGTGTTTAATGTCGCATGAAAATTGTGTAATTACATGAAAAGAATGGCTATTGAACGTTTTTCATCTTGCAAGCTGGTTGGTTGCATGTAGTTTATCAATTTGCCTTTCAAAGGATGAACATGCTCTGTGTTGCTGTGAGGAAGATCCCGATGTGGGGGGGATGCGCTAGGAGCAGTTTTCGCACACTTTATACACACCCAAAATTTGATCCCGATCCCGGGAAGGTTTACCTGTCTATCTTCAAGACACCAAGCGCACTTCTCATCCCTTTATCCACATAGAAGATCCAGTGATGACAATGACCTCCAGTTGCTTAATTATTGTTGGCAAATTATTTGAATATTTTGTGAAATCACCTGATTGTGATGTTGTGTACATTCTCAATGCATCGATACCACACAAACAAACACAGACACGCTTACACACACACGCACACAACGAACCAGAAGACACCTGCAAAAGATCACATGCATTTGTGAACAGCCGCATATGCATGTGTAGCCGTTGCTTCGCGGATGGACAGCCACACACACCTTGTTACGCAAGGTGACTCCCCAACCAGACACACAAATGGAGAATGCTGCTGTTCACTTCCCATGCTATGGAGTGCCCCTGTGGCCATGAGAGACGGAGAGACACACACGCACA